TCGTTTGTATTTCTAATTGTGTTAGCGTTATGTTTGCGTTTTGTTGTTTTGGTTGGTTGTGGTTTGGGTGGGCAATGCCGGGTTTATGATGATTTCTAAACACACAGGTAATGGTCTTTAACGGAAAGGTTTTTCACAGAAGCCAGAGCAGGGCCTGGCCGGGACGGCTAGTATATATATATATAAGAAAATACGTAAATACGAATAAAGAACACTCATTTCGGGCTTTTCGAGTTTTGAAACAAATTAACCTGATTTTTTATTTTTTATTAAAACAAGTTCACCACCCCACACACTCAAATGACACTGCTTATGACATCATCAACATGCCGTCAATGTTGTCCTCGGGCACGTCATTTGTGTGTGCTATTGGTCTGTTTTGAAAATCTTTGTTTAAATATATGTTTGCTATATCCAATCCACATGTCAAATCCGTCAAAAGTATATGAAGCATACAAACTTTGTATATGTAATGGTTTCTCGCGTTATGTTTATTTTTATGTTTTTTTGTATATATATTATTAGTTTTTAATACATTTCCTTCTTATAATATGTCATTCTATAGTATGTATTTTTTTTAAAATAATTAAGAGAAGTTATTGCTTTTTAATTGTTTAGTACAAATCTTTTAAAAGGAGCTTATGAGCACTCCTATTTGACTTTTAAAAAAGGGAAATAAGTCATGAAAGTGGATTAAACGTTTGCCTATCTTTCACAATTTTTTTAAAAAAGGAAAAAGAATAATTATACAAGAGCGTGGGATGGTGTCTATAGAATAGAAATAATCTAACCGCAGCGACAGTATTCTTTTTACAAAACAACCATCAAGTCAAAAATGAAAGATAATTAAATGTTTTAACTAAAAAATAAATTGATTATGGTCGGCGGTGGGCCCCTAAACGGCGTGGGCCCCCCCGCATTGCGGGGTCTGGCGGCACTGTAGTTCCGCCCCTGGTCGGCGTATCTGTGTGTGTCGCTGTGTCGGTGTGTTCGTGCGTTGTCGTGTCAGTGTGTCTGTGTGTGTTAATGTGTCTGTGTATCAGTTTGTCGGAGTGTCGCTGTGTCTGTGTGCCAGTATGTCGGAGTGTCGCTGTGTCTGTGTGTGTTAATGTGTCTGTGTATCAGTTTGTCGGAGTGTCGCTGTGTCTGTGTGCCAGTATGTCGGAGTGTCGCTGTGTCTGTGTGTGTTAATGTGTCTGTGTATCAGTATGTCGGAGTGTCGCTGTGTCTGTGCGTCAGTTTGTCGGAGTGTCGCTGTGTCTGTGTGTTGGTGTGTTGTTTCGGTGCAGCTGACAATGTATATGTATATGGAAAATAAATCAAAGCTCAAAACGAAGCCTTATATGTAGTACTTTATGCGGTACATTCTGTTAGTTTGTGTTACACGATTAACCGAATATCTACAATACGAACAGAAACGTGAACTAAAACTGAACTTTTAAGAATATCGACCTTTTTTTAGTGAAAGTATTAGATGCAAAATTTGTTATTCTTTTTTTTTTCTTCATAATTCAATTTACTTCTCGAGAAAACTCGGTGATTATTAAAGTAACAATTTTTTAAAACCACCACAGGGATCTTGCAATAAGTGCGGGATGGGGTGGGTGGGGAGGTAGAGCACAGGGTAGGTCACCCAGGTGGTTTGGATGTGTAGGGTGTCTGCTCAGCTTTAATTTGTACCTGGCACGTCAGGTGAGGTCAACCGTAACACCCCATCTTCCCCTTGTCTTATTGACTGCAGGTTCATGATGGAATTTTTACTTTTGCTGCGTCAGATTTCAGTTGTTAATGGTGGGTCAGCCTCTGGGTGTCTGGGTGGGTCAGCCTCTGGGTGTCTGTCTTCGGACTGTTGGTGGATGTTAGAGGCACATTATGGGCTTGGACATGGTGGACTGATGTTGGATGAGTCTACCTGATGTTGGGCTAATGTTGGGCAGATTTTGGGCAGATTTTGGGCTGATTATGTGCTATTGTTGGACTAATGTTGGGCAGATTTTGTGCAGTTTTTGTGCACATTTTGTGCTGATTTTGTGCAGATTTTGGGCTGATATTGGCCAAAAAAGCGGTAGTGTCTTGTGTATTGAGTAAATAAAAGACGAAATCGATATCGGCGGTGGGAGTTAATTACATTACGTTAAACTATGGCAGGCTAAAAGATGGGGACCCCGTTCTACATGTGGATAGATAGAGGGGAGAGAGTGGGTACACAGAGGGGAGAGAGTGGGTACACAGAGGGGAGAGAGTGGGTACACAGATGGGAGAGAGTGGGTACACAGAAGGGAGAGAGTGGGTACACAGAGGGGAGAGAGTGGGTACACAGAGGGCAGAGAGTGGGTACACAGAGGGGAGAGAGTGGGTACACAGAGGGGAGAGAGTGGGTACACAGATGGGAGAGAGTGGGTACACAGAGGGGAGAGAGTGGGTACACAGAGGGGAGAGAGTGGGTACACAGAGGGGAGAGAGTGGGTACACAGAGGGGAGAGAGTGGGTACACAGAGGGGAGAGAGTGGGTACACAGAGGGGAGAGAGTGGGTACACAGAGGGGAGAGAGTGGGTACACAGAGGGGAGAGAGTGGGTACACAGAGGGTAGAGTGGGTACACAGAGGGGAGAGAGTGGGTACACAGAGAGGAGAGAGTGGGTACAGAGGGGAGAGAGTGGGTACACAGAGGGGAGAGAGTGGGTACACAGAGGGGAGAGAGTGGGTACACAGAGGGGAGAGAGTGGGTACACAGATGGGAGAGAGTGGGTACACAGAAGGGAGAGAGTGGGTACACAGAGGGGAGAGAGTGGGTACACAGAGGGCAGAGAGTGGGTACACAGAGGGGAGAGAGTGGGTACACAGAGGGGAGAGAGTGGGTACACAGATGGGAGAGAGTGGGTACACAGATGGGAGAGAGTGGGTACACAGAGGGGAGAGAGTGGGTACACAGAGGGGAGAGAGTGGGTACACAGAGGGGAGAGAGTGGGTACACAGAGGGGAGAGAGTGGGTACACAGAGGGGAGAGAGTGGGTACACAGAGGGGAGAGAGTGGGTACACAGAGGGGAGAGAGTGGGTACACAGAGGGGAGAGAGTGGGTACACAGAGGGGAGAGAGTGGGTACACAGAGAGGAGAGAGTGGGTACACAGAGGGGAGAGAGTGGGTACACAGAGGGGAGAGAGTGGGTACACAGAGGGGAGAGAGTGGGTACACAGAGGGGAGAGAGTGGGTACACAGAGGGGAGAGATAGCCGGTAGAGGAAGAGATAGCCGGTTGTAACTAACTCAACCAGCCGCTTCATGAACTTTTACCTTAACGAAAACCACAGACGCATGTTCTGTACTCATGTTCTGCACGCATGTTCTGTACTCATGTTCTGTACTCATGCACCCTAAGGAAATTATTTTTCCCCTGGTCACACCTGGCGAGATTAAGTATTAACGGATCAATTATTACGACACAGGTGTACGCGATTATCGATTACCCAGCCTCATTCACCTGCCGCGCTATCGAACAGCCACCCATTCACCTCAACTCTCTGGGGACCCGGGTCTATACAGCCTGTACGTCGGGGGTTCGGGTTTATTGGAGGCGTACGGGAATATCCGTAACCCGCATAATACATGGTGATCAAACTGACTTAAAAATTAAAAGGCTGATAATAAGATGTATTTTATAGTTAGCTAATAAAGTGGTCAACACCACCCCCCCCCCACCCCCACTTCTCTGAGACCACAGAAAGAAATAGTTGAAGAGACTTGAAGCTCTCTCCACAAACTAGTTTGTAACGACCCCCCTCTCTTTCTGTCAGTCTAAAGCATACATTGAAGACGAAGTAACCCAGCAATGTTGTCCCACCCTCCCTCCAACTACATCAACTTTTAATTTGAGCTTTGATTTGTTGATTCTGTATGTTAAAGAGTAAACACCTCGGCCTCACTCCTACAGAGGTCGCTGCTCTTTTGACGATGTGCGATCTTGGTCTCGCTACTTAACTTTAATTTCGCTCGGATTCACGAACTAGTGTTACAACTACACGTGCGCTGCGCATGCGTGGTATCTCCCAATCACGTCACGCAACCGCCGGAAGTTTCATCAACTGTTAGCTCCCTTGTCTTCTATTTTAAGCCAGACCCCAACTTTAACTCCACTCCCTCTAGCCAACACCCCGACCCCAACTTTAACTCCGCCCCCTCTAGTCAACACGCCGACCCCAACTTTAACTCCGCCCCCTTTAGCCAACACCCCGACCCCAATTACAGGGGAGCCGTCCGCCGAGGCAGGAGCTGTAACTACACAGAGATCTAGTCTGGGAGCCGTAGAGGCGCACGGCTTCTGCAAATTACTAAGGGGGGTAATAATAGAGATGATATGGGCGATAACTCACAGGGTATAAAGGGAAATAATTACTGGAGTTATCTATCCCGTCTCCACCCACACCGATTCACGCGCGTCTATCTGCTCACCCAATACAATGCTGCAAACATGCGTCTTTAAGGAGGTCTAGCAAACATAATGGTATACAGAAAGTAGGACTACTATCCCTTAAAATCACTATATACATATATAGGCCTACTCCTATCCCCATCTTTATTTTTCCCCATGTAACCTTGACATTGAAAGTGATATTAATTTTAATATTTAAAATGCTATTGCTTTACTGTATACTTTAAATTATTGACAGTTTTTACTATCTAATGGGCCCAGTTTGCTGACGACTACATCGCATATATATATATATATATATATATATATATATATATATATATATATATATATATATATATATAGGCTATATATATATAATGTGTTAAACCTAAGGGTAGACAGCTGTGGCCTAGCTCACGAAATCCTTTTACCTCAACAAAAGGTTCACAAAATGGCCCGAACCATGCACCACATTTGCATTTAAAAATTGTGTATTGATTGATATTTCAAGACGACACTGTCGACTCAACACAATACAGTAGGTAAACTAAGCCTGTATTAACGACACGCCATGTATGTTTCTGTTGTCAGAGTTTGAGCCGGAGTGAGGGTGTGTAGTCTGGCGTAGGATCGTGGACTCGACCATTTGGTTTCTCTTGTGGAACACGTTCGTTTGGTGTGTGTTGCGCTCGAGGTAGTTCTAAAAACAGTGAATGTTCCTGATCGGGAATTTCCAAATTGAAGTTTTTAAAATTTTACCCTGTATTGGAAGAATAACAATGACTTGAAGTAGCAGAACTGTAAGAATAAATTGGCTTGGTTTCCTTTTTCTTTTAACTTGGAGGAGTAAAAAAATCTGGATATATGTACATTCCTATATCAAACATCGGAGAACTGTGTTTTGTGTTCAGGTTTAGCTTTGGACAGTTTTCGGTTATTCAGTTGGAAAATCATCAAATTTGGCGAGAAAAACTGAAAATTTTCTGGAACGAAAAGAAAAAGGAACCCACCCAGTTTTTGTGAGACAAAGGGCCAGTTGTATCCTGATTGATGAGCTGTTTTAAGCTACTCACTGATACGTCTGGTGTAAGGTAGTGATAAGTCTCTTTTAGGCTACAAAGTGATAAGTCTCTTTTAGGCTACAAAGTGATAAGTCTGTTTTAGGCTACAAAGTGATAAGTCTGTTTTAAAGACTTTTAGCTTGTTTCTATGGCCAGTAATGAGTAGAGTGGACAGCGTGACGTCACAGTTGTACCTCTACCGGTGTTGTCACTTATCAGGTGACCCTGGTGGTGTAGTCGGCAGCGCAGTGCAATACGTCGCTTATCTACCTCACGTCCTGTGGCATTAGGGGTTCGAACCCGCCCCTCTCAGCAGCAGAACCACCACCCAAGTGCAGATTTACTTTCAACGACATCGAGCTGGGAACTTATTTTTGCTGAGTCTGATTTATGCAAGCATTTCATCGCTCACCCTCATCTCACACCGCACATGCACGCTGAGACGTCCCGGGATCGAAACCACGGCGACCTCACGCGAAGGCACGATTGACAAGGTCATGGCCAGACCGACTTACAGGTAACTCCTCTGTCTGTGCTACTCTTCCGTTAGAGGGACCCCTAGGATTGGCTGGCTTGTAGGAATGATACAGGGACATCTTACCATTATGTTTAGGGCTGTTGTTAAGGTTACTATAGGATTAGGGTTGTGGTTAGGGTTACTATAGGATTTAGGGATGTGATTGGGGTTACTATAGGATTAGAATGATAGGGTTAGAGCAACTATAGGTTTAGGGCTGTTGTTAGAGCAACTATAGGATTAGGGCTGTTGTTAGAGCAACTATAGGATTAGGGATGTGGTTAGAGCAACTATAGGATTAGGGATGTGGTAAAGGTTACTATAAGATTAGGGATGTGGTTAGAGTTACTATAGGATTAGGGATATAGTTAGGGTTACTATAGGTTTAGTGCTGTTGTTAGGGTTACTATAGGATTAGGGGTATGATTAGGGTTACTATAGCATTAGGGCTGTTAGAGCAACTATAGGATTAGGGCTGTTGTTATGGTTACTGTAGGATTAAGGCTATTGTTAGTGCTAATATAAGATTAAGGCTGTTAAAAGGGCTACTATTAATACAAAATTAAGGCAAAGTAATTGCCGTCGTCATTACAAATAAATCAAGCTAATGTATATAGTCAAAATATTTATTTAAAAAAATAAATGTCGCTGTATAAATAATTTAAAGACTTAAAAAATCCGTCTGCCTATAAAAAGTTGACATCTATTTACCTGTAAAAATATCAACGTCTGTTTATCACAGAATGATGATCACGTGACTACTTAAATGAACAGGTTTTTTTAACTTTATACTACGGTTTAATTATTTTAAAAATACTTTACTAATTTTCATTAAAATGTAGTTTAATCGAATCTTGGGGTTTTAGAGAGTTCCTCGGAGCTATAGGAAACCTACTTTGGTAGCGCCTTATCTTGCAAGATCCTCAAGATTATAGCGCCGTATTTTGCAAGATCCTTCAAACTGTAGCGCCGTATTTTGCAAGATCCTTCAAACTGTAGCGCCGTATCTTGCAAGATCAATCAAACTGTAGCGCCGTATTTTGCAAGATCCTTCAAACTGTAGCGCCGTATTTTGCAAGATCCTTCAAACTGTAGCGCCGTATCTTGCAAGATCCTTCAAACTGTAGCGCCGTATTTTGCAAGATCCTTCAAACTGTAGCGCCGTATTTTGCAAGATCCTTCAAACTGTAGCGCCGCATTTTGCAAGATCCTTCAAACTGTAGCGCCGTATTTTGCAAGATCCTTCAAACTGTAGCGCCGTATCTTGCAAGATCCTTCAAACTGTAGCGCCGTATTTTGCAAGATCCTTCAAACTGTAGCGCCGTATTTTGCAAGACCCTTCAAACTGTAGCGCCGTATTTTGCGAGATCCTTCAAACTGTAGCGCCGTATCGTGAAAAAATCTGGAGATAAAAATATTTAACACATAAAAAAAAAAAAAAAAACGAATTCAGATTTTCCAGTAACCCAACGCATCACGTCGCTGAAGCATCGTATTTCTTTTTTCCCCCGCAGGTTAAATGAAAAGTTTCGATTTTTAAATCTCATTTTAATGGATTAAGGTGGTTTTTTTTAAAAAGTGTTATCCCGTGTAATACATTTTAATGAAGTATATTTTGTAATTAGTCATATATAAAATATGTAACTAATTAACTAAAAACTAGAGGTAGGCCCTCTACTTATCATAGTGTCAATTCTGATTTAGCAAAAATGTTAAATCTGTATCCTGTAATTCATTTCTGGGGTGGATGTCTCGTTGTATTATGGTTAGATACCAGTCTGAAAACAGTTAAATTTAAAAAAAAATCTTTCTTTATAATATCAAATGTTACAGTTAGTATCGGTGTATGTCTTTACCAGAGTTTCTAAAAGGCATTCCTTCGGGGGGAGGGGGGTGGACGTCTACCAACTCCCCAACCCCCAACGAAATATAAAAATGCATACTTGTACAAGTGTTCGCCTAACCGGAAATTTTAGTCCGCCCCCCCCCCCCCCCAAATTTGAAATGCCCCCCTCCCCAACGTCCTAGATGTTACGTTACTTGAGGACAGTAACTAGAGTAAAAAATATCAGGACAAAACCGGATGTAGAATTGTACGTCTGACAGTGCTACAAACCTACTGACCTCATGACCTCAATCAAGAACGTTTTGATTGGTTTTGCTAATTGAATTAAGTTTCTCGTCCTGACGCCATTACGATCGAGGGCCCACGGGATTTGTGATTGTACACCCCCCGGGCTGCTGGCGGGGAAATGGGTGTGTGTGGGTTGGTGTGGGTTGGTGTGTGTGTGTTGGTGTGAGTGACGTGGTGTGATACATTTGTTTTAGTGTGTGTGTGTGTCTGTCTGTTGTTATATATGTGCTGGTGTGTCATGGTGTTGTGTGGAAATGTTGGTGCGTGTGTACCTGTGTATTAAAAAAACAACAACAGGAAAATGTCTGTATGTACCAAAGGGTTGGGAGTGGGGGTAGGGAAACAGAGGGAAACTCGTTATTTAAAATCTACATCAAATTTAAAAAACACACCGTAAATCTAGCCTTAAAAGATATTAGTGAGTTCCCAACAGAGATTTAAAAAAAAAAAAAGTTAATGAGAATCATGAAGATAATTTAGATCTGATAATTAATGGTGAGTCAGAATAAGATAAAAAAATGTATTTCAACTAGTCAGTTTAAAATGGAAACAATACATGAAGTAGAGCTGATAATTGCTCTCAATGTCAAAACACCAATACACACCTTGATGTTGCCTAATCTTTTACTAATAAACCAACAAGTGGTAACCAGTGATCATGTTTAGGTTTTGAGGTAACCAGGGATTTGGGGTAACCACATTTCGAATCGTAACCAAAACCCGAAAGCTACCACGTTTGTCAGAAATATACCGTAGACTTCAAGTCACAGTCCTCTGCAATAAAAATTGTCCCTTTTTTGGAAATAACCCTCCCTTCAACAAAACTAGTCATCTTTAAACAAAATTAGTCCCTGTAATTAAAAACACGCAAAAAAAAAAAAAAAAAACAATTTCTTCTTCATCAAAACGAGTCTGGATAAGCAAAACAAGTCCTCTAAAACTAAAAGAAAATCTTCTTTCACAAGACGAGCTCTGTCTAGCAAATCTGGTTCCTGTCCTGGTGTGGACGACAAGGACACTGACACCGTGACCTATTTATTGATCGGTGCCGCGCAGGAAACTTCTCCGGAAGTCTTCGTGCCAGAGAAAAGATGTATCACACCCCTGGTCAGTACATCACACCCATGGTCAGTACACCACACCCCTGGTCAGTACACCACATCCCTGGTCAGTACACCAAACCCCTGGTCAGTACACCACACCCCTGTTCAGTACACCACACCCCTGGTCACCACACCACACCCCTGGTCAGTACACCACACCCCTGGTCAGTACACCACACCCCTGGTCAGTACACCACATCCCTGGTCAGTACACCAAACCCCTGGTCAGTACACCACATCCCTGGTCAGTACACCAAACCCCTGGTCAGTACACCACACCCCTGTTCAGTACACCACACCCCTGGTCACCACACCACACCCCTGGTCAGTACACCACACCCCTGGTCAGTACACCACACCCCTGGTCAGTACATCAGTACACCACACCCCTGGTCACCACACCACACCCCTGGTCAGTACATCAGTACACCACACCCCTGGTCAGTACACCACACTCCTGGTCAGTACACCAAACCCCTGGTCAGTACACCACACCCCTGGTCAGTACACCACACCCCTGGTCAGTACACCAAACCCCTGGTCAGTACACCACACCCCTGGTCAGTACACCACACTCCTGGTCAGTACACCACACCCCTGGTCAGTACACCACACCCCTGGTCAGTACATCACACCCCTGGTCAGTACACCACACCCCTGGTCAGTACACCACACCCCTGGTCAGTACATCAGTACACCACACCCCTGGTCACCACACCACACCCCTGGTCAGTACATCAGTACACCACACCCCTGGTCAGTACACCACACTCCTGGTCAGTACACCACACCCCTGGTCAGTACACCACACCCCTGGTCAGTACATCACACCCCTGGTCAGTACACCACACCCCTGGTCAGTACACCACACCCCTGGTCAGTACATCAGTACACCACACCCCTGGTCAGTACACCACACCCCTGGTCAGTACACCACACCCCTGGTCAGTACATCAGTACACCACATCCCTGGTCAGTACACCACACCCCTGGTCAGTACACCAAACCCCTGGTCAGTACATCAGTACACCACATCCCTGGTCAGTACACCACACCCCTGTTCAGTACACCACATCCCTGGTCAGTACACCACACCCCTGGTCAGTACACCAAACCCCTGGTCAGTACACCAAACCCCTGGTCAGTACACCAAACCCCTGGTCAGTACACCACACCCCTGGTCAGTACACCACACCCCTGGTCAGTACACCACACCCCTGGTCAGTACATCACACCCCTGGTCAGTACACCACACCCCTGGTCAGTACATCAGTACACCACATCCCTGGTCAGTACACCACACCCCTGTTCAGTACACCACATCCCTGGTCAGTACACCACACCCCTGGTCAGTACACCAAACCCCTGGTCAGTACACCACACCCCTGGTCAGTACACCACACCCCTGGTCAGTACACCAAACCCCTGGTCAGTACACCACACCCCTGGTCAGTACACCACACTCCTGGTCAGTACACCACATCCCTGGTCAGTACACCACATCCCTGGTCATTACACCACACTCCTGGTCAGTACACCACACCCCTGGTCATTACACCACACCCCTGGTCAGTACATCAGTACACCACACCCCTGGTCAGTCCATCACACCCCTGGTCAGTACATCACACCCCTGGTCAGTACACCACACCCCTGGTCAGTACACCAAACCCCTGGTCAGCACACCACACCCCTGGTCAGTACACCAAACCCCTGGTCAGTACACCACACCCCTGGTCAGTACACCACACCCCTGGTCAGTA